TTCTCCCTACTATCTAGCGGCACGAGTTCTTAACCTAGAGTGTTATACGGCTTTCTTAAAAGATTAAAATAATTATATTACTATTGAAGGAGAAAAGAAGCTCTTTAGCGTATAAAAGCTCTAGGAGAGGTTCCGCGAGAAAGTAATACTTTAGGTTTAACTATATCGTACGCAACTAAGAAAACTTAAAAGTCGCCTTTAGAGTCTAAAGAAAACCTCTCTACCTTCTATAAGGCTTATCTTTAGTATTATTTAAAGTATACTCGTCTACAGAGTCTAGATAAGTTTAATAACTATATTAATAAGAATCCAATTCCACTTAATGGCCGTATAATAGCTATTTAATAGTAGAATTAGCCTCTTTAGCGTACGAGATTTCTATAACTCTTATAGCTTATAATTAAAGTTCTCTTAATACCTGGAATAAGCGATAAGCTAGAGAGAGTATTTTTAGGGTTTTAACGTCGCGTTCTATAGGATCGTACGAGAACTACTCTATAAATACTTAAGGCATCGGAGTGCGCAAAGGACTAGGCGGCTTGTAAGATTATAAGTATTCTCTTATAGTCGTACGAGGGAAAGTATATAAGAGGTATGTTATACAATACTAAAAGGGGGAAGGGGGGTATATAAATAAAATAATTTTAGGCAAAAGGTATCTACTAAAGGCGCGTAGGTGGCGTAGGTAAATATAGTAATTTTAAACTTAAAAGTTTATAAGTTTAAATCCTACCAATATCGTCCTTTATTGAGAATTAGGAAATATAATTATTTAGTATACCTCCTGTCCTACCATACAAGAGATTCTCTGGCAACATTGCTATACTATAAGTAAACTCTCCTCTCTGTACAATATACCTATATAACTAACTACTCTTAGGATAAGCAGGAGAGGGTAGAAGCTTTGCCGGCGATTAATATAGAGGCTTAGGCGGGGGGGGGTATTAGAGAGGCAGGTGTAGACGGGAAGGCCCTTATGTAAGGCAGTATTGCCAGGGTATACGGTAGGGAGCAGGCAAGCCGAGCATGAGTCACATAGGGAGTCGATGGAAGAGGACGATATGGTAATAAGGGTAGGCAATAGCCTAAGTACAGAGACGAACCGATGAGGAGGGAAAGGGCTGCAAGCCCGAGGAGCTTATAAGGAGGTGCCAAGCCTAGCCTTCGGCTAGGGCTTGGCTACCCCTTAGAGCTCCTAGGCGATGCAGCCGAGTAAGGGACCAAAAGTACCCTTACACCTTATATATAAATGCGATTCTAATTTAGAGTTGCGGATCTCTAAATATAATTGTAAGTAACCTATATTACTTGTACGAGGCAGAGAGCTAATTAAACGTTAGTCCTGCGAGACTTGTACGGCAACTCCGCGTCGTCTAGTAGGCCCTTGCCCCTTTACTAAGTGTTGGAGTCTCCTAGGGTTCTATGGTGGGTGCTGTGGAAATTACAAGTAGCGGGATTGTGGGGCTCGATGTTTATCGTACGATATAAATTCTCAGCCTATAGTGGCGGTAGCGGGAGTACTAGAGGGTGAGGATCGGATTATAGAACTGGAGGATAATGTTACGGCACTGGCAGAAAACGGCAGAACTTTGCGGTCACGTGACTTGAGGACCACATAAAAGAACCCTACTTCGACCGGCGCTGCTCTTCTTCTCCTTTCCTTTCTCTAGCTTTAGATTCTCGTTTATAGACAATCCAATTGTACAGGCTTGCACGTCCCTCATACCGTGCTCATGCCTCGATTGACTGAGTCGCTAACAGATAATAAGGAGTAGATAAAAGTTACTGAATTTAAACTGCTGAGTCTCCTCTCTTTTTTCCTATTTTTATTTTATTTTATAGTATTTTATATAAAGAGAAGTATAAATAAAAAAGGTAAAAAGTAGATATCTAATTAGTAGGAAAGCTAAAGGTATTTACTAAAGCCTTATATAGAGCTTTATATAAGCCTCCGCAGAGCTTTATACAGAGCCTCCGTACGTAGAGCTTAGTGCAGCGCTTGGTGTAGAGCCTCTATACGTAGAGCTTCGTGTAGAGCCTCCGTAGAGCTTCGTGCAGAGCTTCGTGCAGAGCTTTTGCTAAGCTTTAGTAGAGCTCCGTACGGGTAAGCCTTATTCTACAGGGCTCTTATAAGCTTTATATCTATATAATATTACTTATCCTTAGGATATTTTAATAAAAGCGGTACTATTTTAAAGCGCTTTACGAGCTCTATAAATCTGTTTTAATAAAAAAATTATTTATTTAATATTAAGGGGTGTATTATAAGTATAAGCATATTAAGGGGATTTTGCTAAGACTATCCGGAGACTATCCGGATAGTCTCCGGATACTATCAGCTGATAGGTCTATTATCCGAGAGGGCTATCCGGCCTATCCTTGGCAACTCTGGCACGTCCTACGCCACAGAGAATACAGATTATCTGACAACTACACCTCACCACCATGCCAAGTATCACCAATTCAATATATATGATTGGTGCCCGCATCTATATCGACTTTCGAGCGATCGATCGATTATCGCTTAGAATCGACGGAAGTCGAGTCGATAATGATGACCTAATATGACCTTATGAATCGATCAATCGATATAATCGATAATTGATTGCGGAGCAGTATGGTCTTATGCTCTCCCTGCGCCGCGAACGAGAGGGGCGTCCGACCAGAATTATCCCTTGAGTTGACATTAACCTCTCCCGTGTCGAGTAGCAGCTTGACCACAGTCTCATGCCCTCCCTGCGCCGCGAATGAGAGCGGTGTCCGACCAGAATAATCTCTTGAGTCGACATCAACCTCTCCCGTGTTAAGTAGCAGCTTAACCACGCTCTTATGCCTGCTACTAGCCGCTAATGAGAGCGGTGTCTGACCATAATCAGTAGTCTTTGAGTCGATATTAACTTTGCCTGTTGCGAGCAGTAGTATAACTGTAGTCTTATGTCCGTTCTCTGCTGCCCACGATAGTGGCGTCCAACCGTACTCATCCTTTAAGTCGACGTCAGCCTTCTCTGTGTTGAGCAACAGTATGACCACAGTCTGGTGCCCTCCCTGCGTCGCGAATGAGAGAGGTGTCCAACCAGAATTATCCCTTGAGTCGACTTCAAACCTACCCGTATCGAGCAGCAGCTTGACCACAATCTCATGCCCGTTACTAGCCGCTAACGAGAGCGGCGTCTGGCCATGTTCAGTATCCTTTGGGTCGATGTCAACCTGGCCTATCTCCATCAGCAACTTGACCACGGCCTTATGCCCATTCCTTGCTGCCAACGACAGCGGTGTTTGGCTATATGTAGTGTCCTTGGAGTTGAGCTTGACCTTGCTCGTCTCCAGCAGCGACAGCGCTCCCGAGCCGGTGTCCCACAACTTGACACTGCTGTCGCTTGATGCCGACGCCAGCTGCTTGCTGTCCGGCGAGAAGGCCATGGCGTATATAGGCTTTGTATGGCCCTCAAGCGTGTGCAGTACCATTCCTGAGCCGGTGTCCCACAGCTTGACAGTACTATCGCTTGATGCCGACACCAGCTGCTTGCTGTCCGGCGAGAAGGCCATGGCGCATATAGGCTTCGTATGGCCCTCGAGCGTCTGCAGCACGGTGCCCGACCCGGCGTCCCACAGTTTGATGGTGCTGTCGGTCGACCCCGACGCCAGCGTCCTGCCGTCCAGCGAGAAGGCCATGGCCGTGACCTCCCTGTTATGGCCCTCGAGCGTCTGCAGCACGGCGCCCGACCCGGCGTCCCACAGCTTGACAGTGCCGTCGTCCGATCCCGACGCCAGCGTCCTGCCGTCCGGTGAGAAGGCTATAGTATATATAGGCTTCGTATGGCCCTCGAGCGTGTGCAGTAGTTTAACCATAGTCCCGTGACCATTCGCTTCTGCGCATGACAGTCGCGTCCGGTTTGAGTCATCTCTGGAGTCAGCGTCGATCTTACCCGTCTCTAGCATTAGTGTGACGGCCTTTTCGTGGCCTCCTTGCGACGCCGCCTGTAGCGCGTTACCGTAGTCTCCTCCAGCGTTAACGTCGGCGCCTTCGCTCAGCAGCAGCTCAACGGTGGCTAAATGACCTCCCTGCGACGCCGCTTGGAGCGCGTTACCGTAGTCTCCTCTAGCGTTAACGTCGGCGCCTTTGCTCAGCAGCAGCTTGACGATGGCCGAGTGACCTTCCTGCGACGCTGCTTGGAGCGCGTTACCGTAGTCTCCTTCTTTAGCGTTGACGTCGGCGTCTTTGTTTAGCAGCAGCTCGACTGCCCTGTCGTTGCTTTCTTGCGATGCCGCGTGCAGTGCGTAGTGCAGAGAATGATTGGGATCTTGTTTTCCGCAAAGTTTAGTCTCAGTATAGTCAGCCTTGCTCTTGTCAGTACCTTCCCATAGATCTTTGGAGCCGAATTCCAGGCCATCAGCTCCCTGGGTATGCGGAAATATGGCATATGGAGAAATTTTGTCCCCAACAAACCCAACTAGGCTGGACTCTCTAAGGAAATAATTTCGTAGTCTTTTTGCTGTAAGTAGCACTCATTTCGCTGTGTTCTTCGAGCTAATTCTTTCTCCAAGGCGAAAATCGTCGGGTCAGGCCAAATCAGGGAAGTGGGATTTGATTTATTTGGGACAAATGTCTGATAGGGAGGTCACCTAGGCCCCACTCAAGGCTCAACAGGTGCTTGTGCGCCCAGGGTTCGTGTTTGTTTGACAGGGCGGTCTCGAAAACGGTCTCTAGCTCGACTCTCAATACTAGAGTTTCATCATATAACATTCGGAGACCTTCTAATGTCGGATATCAGAAGAAGATCGCCGCTCTAGGAAGAATTTTCGGATAATAGCTCAACAGCGGGTTCTAAAGATGATGTGGTCGCTGAATTTGCTGAGTTTTGACTCTTTTAAAAAATGTATAAGTCCAATTCTGTTCTTGGATAGTATAACGAGGGAACAACTAATCTCATAAAAAAATTTCTACCCGCTCTTGGGCTTGAGTATACAGCTAAGAAATAAAAAGGAAAAAAAATGAATAATGCTTATCCGGCGAATCGAACGCCGACCCCTTGCTTGGAAGGCAAGGATCCTAACCTGAATAAATAATATTAGAGGTTGCTTTCAAATACATGAAACAACGTACCATTAGACCAAATAAGCTCGGTTTCGTTAAGTTAAAATAAAATTTATATATAATTTGTAAATCCAGTCGTACCCGCTACAATAGCGGACGATGCAGCGACGAGGAAGTCAATAAAAAAGGAAAGGCTCTAGTATAAGAAACACATGCTCGAAGAGAAGTTTTCAATGCCAAAAAATCAAATTTAACTCATGAACTATCCATATTCTAAGTTTGAAAAATATAACGCTACATTAAGAGGTGAAGTGAGAGCGACAAAACTACTTGTTTGGGCTATGTCATTAATTCCATTTACTAGATTGCCGGTTGTGGCTAGCCACTGTGTGTTAAGTCGTGGCCCTTACACGTACGTGTTAAGGGTAAACACATCGCCAGCGTACGCGTTCTCCAACTAATGGCACGCGTTTCTTGTCACCATAACGTGTGATGTGTATACCTCTCTGCATTGGCTCTGATCTTTAAAGAGATCAGGTTCGTAGCCAGCACAACGTATAGGCTGCAGAGTCGGATTTCGCTGGCCTAGTACTAAGCAGTACTCCAATTATCGACCGTAATAACGCTTTGATAGTTTTACGTTGAATTTCGAGGATTCGCAACCTACTTCGAAAACCCACATCTCACAGAAAGAAACAGCATAGTCCACAAGAAGAGGCTTTCATATCGTGCATCCCATGTCGTTAATCAAGTCGTCGGCCTTCGATCTGGAAAAATATGTCCATGGCACCATCATCTCCCGCATGCAGGAGAAAGGCATTAGCTTTTCCATAGGGACGCCTGCTCGCCTCAAATGGTGCCTGCCTTAGCACAAACACAGTGACCTTTGGCACCAAAGTCTAGAGCACACTTTGTTCGCATCTCCTGAGCAGCTAAACCAAATTTTAGACTTGCATAATGTTCCCATGACATGGTCTTCTCGTCCTACTGGATTCATAACCTTCTACATTCGCACATTCAGCTTCCAGCCTTATAAGCTACTCGAGGTCATCAAGCAGGTCTCCACTATAGGCTATGAAGAATGCCAAATACTTCGAACATGGACTGGTCTTCTCCACTCAGCAGATTCTACGGCAGTGACATACATTCGGTACGTTGGAAAGACTGGGTACTCACCATGGCACAGATTCTGGCATGATCTCGTCTCTACGCCCGGCTCGCTTGCTATTCGCTTCATCCAGACAACCTTGTTGCTATATCCGAATGTAATTCGAGATGCACTTGTTGAAGAGGTCTCGAACGCGAGGGCTACCTGCGCGGTTGACGACAGCGTTGTAGATACCACAGAGCAAGAGCTCATCACTCTGCTGCAGGTAAGTTATAAAGTCTTTGTGCCGCCAATGGGCTCTAACCTTCCTGTCACAGGCAGGTGTGGTTAACACGGAAGCAGGTGGCCGATTTCTCTATAAACCAACCACAGTCGATGAGAAGTAATTTGCACTCCTTTTAACTCTAGTTATTCCACAGCTTGAATCTTCCGTGGCCACACGTCCCGCCTCTCTAAAGGAGCAAAGTCAGATTAAAGCGCTCGCAAAGGAGATTCAAGTTTACGCGAATACCAACCCCGCGAAGACTGGAACGTCACAGTATCTCTTTTTCACGCACCAGTTAGATTCCCTTGTCAGAGGCCTAATGTTTTCTATTTTGCAGAATGGCTTTACTCCGTTCTTAACACTTAGCTCCGAAATCACACAAGGCGTTTTTTTGGATCCTAAGGGCGAGTCTTTCTTTTTGGGATTATCTAGATCTGCTCACCTTGCTACAACTGCTTTTAACTTTTTCGGTTCGTGGGAGAAGAACCTCAGTGCCCTTAAATCTAGTCTTACTGCCCGAATGGCTACAAGCAATCATCTGCCTTTCATCAACCTCTTCAACTGGCCGAAGGCAGATCCAGCTACGTTAAACGATGCTTTACTGTTCGTTAAACGCTATTTCACCCTCGTTAGACCTCTCGTTGTTTTAACCTACGGTCATTTGGTAAGATTATTCGTGTTTTATTGCGCTTGCCCTGGGATTGCGCGCTGATTCTAAACGATTAGCCCTCTTATGCCACTCTCAATAACTTCAAGTCCATAAATAGCCTACAGCACGATCACTTCACCCTATTGGACTCGATTGGCAATCTTCATCTGCGCCGTTACTCTAGCGAGTCCAATAACGACCAGTCTGTCTACATTGTCATTCTATTATTACATCCTGGTCGGGTCGCCCATTAAGGAAAATTGATCGAGCTTTCGAAAGCTGTCTATCTGATAACGGCTATAAAAGGCTGGGTTGCCTTTAATGAGGCACTGAAACGGACGAGTTCTACCTCCCCTAAGCCAGTCCTGTATGCCCAAATTGTAAAGGCGGTTAAGGACAAAACTGGCCCAGGAACAAAATTCTATAAACGTTTCCAGCGCTTAAAACAGCAATATTTACAGGAACTGCAGCGGAAAAGCAATGCGATTTTCTTGAGCTTAACGATTGATAAGCTTGCTCATATTACCAAGGTGCGCAACGCACGCGACGATTTGTTTGCTCAGCTTCGCCAAAACAATTCCCAGTGCCAACGCAGACTTTCGGCCAACGAAAGAGCTGCTACTGCTGCTCGAAAGATCAAATGGGTCGTCTACTCTGGGCCCCCAGGTGTCGCAATGGCTTCCTCATTTGCCGTCTGGGCACAAGCCAAAAAAGAGCTCGACATGCTAATGGCTTATGGCTTCTCATACACAATTCCCAATAATCCTGAGCGTCGGAATGAAGTTGCCAGACTATACAACAAACACGTCACCAAGCTGCTTACTCCTGAAGCCATCGCAGGCAACCGTGATCAGTTCTTCGATTTCGCCACTTCATCACAAGTGACCTGGCGAGGTAGTTACTATCTTTGTGCCACATCTACACAGGAAGCGACAAGGGATCTTCCAAACTTGATCCGTTGCTTCCTTACTGAGGCAATCGAAAATCCTTATGGTACTATCCATGTTCGGCAAAATCACGAAATAAGTCGGACGGCCGCTCTGCTAAAGCTGGAAAATTAGTTTGCTCGGATTTTTGCTCTTACAAACTGTGATAACGATGCTCAATTTGTCGAAATGGTCAACAAGAATTAGTTAGAATACATGCAGGAAAGGGCCCCAGATGTGTACAGGCACCTGGACAACCAGGCACAGAAAGCGGCATGCGAAAACCAGATGTACTTCACCAAGGATAATCTCAATGGCACTGAAATCACCATCTGCGAATATCACCGCAATCACGATTCTGGCGCCGTCAGCTACAGCGTATTGTGGAGAGTTTTAAGTGGGGAAACCTTTACGATCGAGAACCTCCCACTCCCAAAGCCCGTTAAGCCTACCAAAGACAGCGAGAGGAGGTTCATCTATTTTGTACCTAAAGGAATCGTTATTGCAGACGAGAATGGGAATCCAATTGATGCCCATATCGTAAGCCAAGCCACTCGACAGGCCGGGATGAAGAAACCCCCCGTATATCCCACTTTACCGCTGGCATTAATGATTCTATCACTCCAAAGTCATCCTCATGGAAATGCATTTTTGCGTCTCTGGGAGGCTCAGAGTGGCACCGCTGTGGATGAAGTCATACTACGCATTAGGCCTGCCTCCAAAAACGAACAATTTATCTCAGCAGACTATTACACTTCTGGTCCCACAAGGGCTCTTCCCTTGTGTCATGTCTATTCAGGCTCGGCGAAGCTTGCTGTGCAAAACCTTCTTCCTGTCTACCCCGGCGATTCTTTGTAGCTGATCCACAAATTTCTTAAAGCTATATACCCTCATGGAGGCCTCGTCAAATGCAGCAACCCGGACAAAGACCGGACTGGTGAATCCGTATTCTCCAAGCTTTCCAAGTATGTAATCTTGTCGCGATTGTTTTTCTTGCTAATTATAATTTAGATTCTTGCAGAGGCCCGTTTATAGAAACCATCCTTTCATTCGGGAGCTCTGCTTTCTACCTAAAGTCGCAAAGCGGGAGGGCGCAAACTTGCGCAAAGCAACTTCAACAATCAAGAGCGCTCTAGATGTGTTACGAGGTCAAACAAAGATTAGTGTTTCTAAAACAATGCGTGTTAAAAATCCTGCCGGCGGCTAAAAACTCAACATTTCAGTCACCAAGATATGGATCAATGTCTCCGCGCCCAAAAACGTGATCGCTGATGTTGGGTCTCCGCAACTCTTACGTGCACCGACTCCCCCTGGAACTATGGAGGAATACAAAGAGAGGGAGACATCCATTTTAAAAAAACACAGCGAAGATGGAATCGAAGCGCAGAAAATTGTGGAGGAGCTCGCGGAAGAAGAAGGGAAGACGCATAGCGAGCTGGAGACAGCTTGGGCTTCTGTCACGTTGATTTCCGCAAATGGTCGCAAGAGAGGTCAGCCGCAAGGCAGAGAAGCCGATGATGTATCTAAGCGTTCTCGTCATTAGGGGCCTTTCGCCAAGCTAGTCTTCTACTCATGTAAGTAGCTTCATGTAAGATATAATGGTAGATATATGGGGCAAAAGTGACCTCATAAAAAGTCTGTTTCTTCTTTTGGCGTGAGCTCCGCAGGGGTGTAATGTGAGAGCTGAATCAGCGAATTGAGTAGTGGCTGAACTATAACCGCGCTCTGTAGTAAAGAATCTCCTCTCCATGGATGCTAATACGGGAGTCTGTTGAAGAGGCCTATAATATTCACTATCAACATAGATCAGTTCATCCTCGAAATCAACATAGTCGGCAATATCTGCTTCGATATTAGACGTGATGGTGGGTATGGATACCAGGGTTCCGGAAATAGCACTTGATCAAGTAAAGATACAGCCTCCGGTCGTTTGCGTCGAATACTAACATCTCCAACCAGTCTTTGTACGATCAGTGGTGAATATCCGCTACAGTATCTCTCTCCACTCTTTCCGACGCTGGCCATTGCGTCTACTCAAGCGCACTTCTGCGAAAAGATGCCTTGCGGCGTGTACCTTGCGCTCAAAATCTA